TTGGCCGTGGGCCTAAGTTGGCCACCCTGCATTTCTCAGAGATGGTTTACTGGACGAATCTATAATTTTGTGGTATGATATATTGATAAACCATGATATAATTTATGGACCTAATTATAATCTAAGATTCTTCTACGCGTTGTGAGGACAATAATATTGTTTTCGACCAAAAAAATTTGATTTTTCTTGTTTTTTCGAGAGCAGCTACAAGAGATAAATAATTAAAAATTTATAAATCAGTGTGTGCTTTAGTTCCTTTTATTTAATGTTGTAATAAGAGGTTCTGTTGATTTTTTAATTAAATTTTTTTTATTAGCGTAATAATTTGAAACTTGTAAAAATCTACAGTGGTCCTAAGTTGGCCACCTATTGTTTTTGTTTGTTTTTATTTATGTTTTACTTCTTTTTTGTGTTTTTCATCACGAGAAAGACCGTAAAAGTGTAACGTAGGAATTAAACAAAGACAAAAAACAAAAAAAATGGTTTAAAAAAAATTAGAAAAGACATAGTACAAAAACGCCTGTCTCCACAGCCATCTACCACTGCAAATAAATGAAATAAAATAATGGTTCATTTTCTAAACAAAAATAGTTAAATAATGCGTTTTTATTCTCCTAAATGTATCATATTTGTTAAATTTCTGCGTAATTGAAAAGAATATGCATTTCTTCCTGAAACACAAGCGAAAAAAGTGGTGGCCAACTTAGGACCGCAATTTCTGAAATGTCCAAAATGCAGCTTTTCACTATTTATTGTATTAAGACTACAAAAGCCATTCTATAACGTTCTAAATACCACAAAATTATAGCAAAACGATCTCTGAACACTAATATATACTTGCCGAAGTGATTAAATTTCATTTTGTTACTATTTTCGACCAATTTGCTTAGGCGGCCAACTTAGGACCACTCTCCCCTACTATTTAGGGGCCAAAAATCGGTTTTTTATTTTTTAAAGTATGAAGTACCCTTCCAATCATCTTGCAAAAAATATATGTTACTCTTGAAATGATATTTTATAGAAAAAAATGGCGGTGGTGCAAAAAAAATTTCAATAAAAAAAAATGTTTTTTAAAAAAAAATTAAAAAAAAATTTTTTTATACTGACTTTTTACTGACTTTCTTTGTTAGAATTTGGTCGAAAATTTTTTTTTATTAACTGTTCATATTGTATTGTACAAAAAAAATTTTTTCATGAAAATCGATTCAACTATTTTGAAGGGAAAAAAATTTTTTGAATTTTTTTGAATTTTTCAAAAAAATTGTATAACTCAAAAACAAAATTTTTTTTCGAGTTAAAACTTGGTGAAAATAAGTCTCATAATAGGTCAAAATTATTCCCTAAATATGGACCCAATCCAAGAGGAGGCACTTTTTACATGCTTATACTGCTACGGCCTTTTCATTGACTCGGTACTTGACTTTTGGATACGACACAAAATACTAAAAACAGTCTAGTTATTTTGCATGAGAGTTTCAAAAGCAGTCAATGAAATATTCTAGTACCTTGCTTGAGAATTTCATTGACTTTCAAAAAAATTGGAAAATAAAAAAAATAATTTCCACTTGTTTACACAGTTTTTCTGATATTCACTCATTCATTCACATATATTGATAATTAATCACACAAACAAAGAACAATTATTGTATCACTTTTCGACGTTCGTCAACACTTATGAACTAACCTATAACACACACATATATTCGCGTATAACTTAAATATAAACACACACTTAACACTTAAAAGTACGTTTCGAATTGTTCTTATATACCACATGGTGAAATTTTTCACGACTTCTGAGACATGCTATTTCACTGAAAACTGATACTTACATAACATTCTGTTTTGTGAGAAACACAAAATAAAAAATATTTTTTTGAAAGTCAATTCTTGAAGACAAATATATATTAACACTATTTGTTTTTCATAAAATAATAGTATATTCACATCTGAAATTGACACAAATGGAAACAGACGATCAGCTGGCATTTACCTTCGGTAGAAACGCACACTGCGCATGCTTTACAGAATTTTCAAGCGCAGTCAACTAATCTTTCACGTACTTTATAAAACTGAACAAATGACTTTTCGTTAAAATTTAAAAAACACTGTTGCCCATACTAGTACTAGAATAATTCTAGGACTTTCTTATATTTTCTAATAAAAAGTATATGAGGCATTCCAGGCCAAACCGAAATATCGTTTAATTTCACATTTTTGATTTGGCTCAAACATTTTTTATCTTTTAGTACTAGTTGAAAAAGAGCTTCATGATTTTTTTCAAATTTTTTTACCCAGCCGTTTACAAGATACGAATTTTTCAAAATTTTACGTTTTGAAAAAAAAAATTTTTTGAATGCTCATAACTTCTACAAATGTGGATCAATTTTAAACTTTCTTATATGAAAATTGTTTGTTTTTTCATGAACTTTTCAAAAATTTTATAAAAAAAATTCTTCAGAAATTTTTTACTGCATTTTTAAAAATTTTAAGATTAAAATTTAATTTTTAAATCTGTTTATATCCTTCGATTTTTTTAAAAAGAATTCTAAAAAAACTACTTCCCTTTACGCAAGTTTTAAGTCCTGTCCCGTCGTGGGGAAATGATTTTTACTATTTTTTCAGAATTTTTTAAATTATCGAAATTCAGTAATTTACTCATTCAGCCGCTGTATTGTGCAACAAACTGATTTTACAGGATTCAGTTTTGCCTAATATCAATTGAAATACGATTCCTCCAAAAGTCTAGTGATACAAAAGAATAAATTTTTAAAAATGTTATTTTATTGTCTTATGAAATTAAATTTTAACAAATTTTTAGTATAGGCACCTAATCATAAATATAAGAAACTTTTTAAATCATTTTTTTGACACTTTTTTAAAATTTCTTCTGAAACTTATGAGAAAACCAGTTTTCCATTGTACTGATAATAATAACTTAATAAAAATTACTAATTTAATTAAAAATTATTGAATTAATATAATTTATTCTTTATGAGTCAGTCCATTGACTTTCGTCTGAGAGTCGTTGCGACCACATTTTTAAAAAATCTAATTTTCATATATATGTGAAACTCGATAATTTTTAAGTTCATTAATCATAATATTATGTTACAAATTTTATTCCGTTTAATAATATATATTAATTATTATCAAAAGTATATAATTCACGTTCTAACGACCAAAATAAAATAAAAATTTTATTATTTGCAAACGAAAATTAATTTAAAAAATTTTTTTATCTAAAGAAATTACACTTTTTGTTTCACTTACAACTTTTATGTCGGACCTTAAAAAAATTTGCGGTTTTGCAAATATTTTTTGTAATATAATATTATGATTAATGAACTCAGAAAATCATAAAGTTTCACACATATGAAAATTAGATTTTTTAAAAATGTGGTCGCAACGACCACATTATTTTTATTAAGTTATTATTATCAGTACAATAGAAAACTGATTTTCTCATAAGTTTCAGAAGAAATTTTAAAAAAGTGTCAAAAAAATGATTTAAAAAGTTTCTTATATTTATGATTAGGTGCCTATACTAAAAATTTGTTAAAATTTAATTTCATAAGACAATAAAATAACATTTTTAAAAATTTATTCTTTTGTATCACTAGACTTTTGGAGGAATCGTATTTCAATTGATATTAGGCAAAACTGAATCCTGTAAAATCAGTTTGTTGCACAATACAGCGGCTGAATGAGTAAATTACTGAATTTCGATAATTTAAAAAATTCTGAAAAAATAGTAAAAATCATTTCCCCACGACGGGACAGGACTTAAAACTTGCGTAAAGGGAAGTAGTTTTTTTAGAATTCTTTTTAAAAAAATCGAAGGATATAAACAGATTTAAAAATTAAATTTTAATCTTAAAATTTTTAAAAATGCAGTAAAAAATTTCTGAAGAATTTTTTTTATAAAATTTTTGAAAAGTTCATGAAAAAACAAACAATTTTCATATAAGAAAGTTTAAAATTGATCCACATTTGTAGAAGTTATGATCATTCAAAAAAAAATTTTTTTTCAAAACGTAAAATTTTGAAAAATTCGTATCTTGTAAACGGCTGGGTAAAAAAATTTGAAAAAAATCATGAAGCTCTTTTTCAACTAGTACTAAAAGATAAAAAATGTTTGAGCCAAATCAAAAATGTGAAATTAAACGATATTTCGATTTGGCCTGGAATGCCTCATATGGAACAGCCTTGTATTTTGTGTCCTATCCAAAATTCAAGCACTTTCAAGGAAGGATTCACGTACTTTTTTTTCCGTGTACATTGCTGACAAAAAGTTCTAAAAAGCATTTAATAGTAAATTTTTGAAAAAAAATAATTACTTTTTTTGTTTTTTGTTATACAAAAAAGTTTATAAGGGGAAAGTTGTTTGTTTTTACAAAATTTAAGAAAAAAATTAGAAAAAAATATTTTTTTGAAATTTGTAAAAAAAGTCGCCCAAATTGCAAGTCGATTCATAAAAATTTACTCGAGTTATCGTCGAGATAAAATTTTTTACAGAAAAACTTTTTTCTTTGAATCAGGGGGTCATGAAACGTGAAGATTTATCAAAATTAGAAATTTCTCAAAACCGCACAAATCCAAGACTTTCTCATTTTTGATGGATAATGTAAAAATATAAAACATGTAATTTTCCTAGATTTGTTCACATTGGTAATTTTAAAAATTTTATATTGATTACAAATTAATAAATTGTACCTTAAAAGAAAGTAATTAGCAATTTTAATTTCTATATTCTATAAAAATATAAAGTAATGTACAAAAAATATAAAATTATATACAACAAAATATAAAAATAATATACAAATAATATACAAAAAAATATAAAATAATACATAAGGATATATACTTAACATTCGTCAATCAAAAAATTATAAAATTTAAAAATATATAGATTTCAAAACAAAAAAAATATATACCTATAATAAATTAATCACATTCATTCATAAAGAATAAAATAATTATAATAATATCTTACCAAAAAAATTAATAAATAAACATTCGTCAGCAGGAATTAAAAATAAATTCACCCATCAAACGTCGGAGAAAACATAGAGTTTGGAGTCACAACTAAAATAAATGAGAATCGAAATTATAATAAAGAATTTAGAATGAATAAAGTAAAATAAAATCTCAAAATTTTAAATTAAAAAAATAATTTAATTTAATGGATAGTTACTTAATTAAGATAATAAATAAAATAAAAAATTAAGTTGAGAATAACATACCTATAAAAGATTATAAAACCATTTTTGTAATAAATAAATAAACATTAACATCACAGTTAAATAAATAAAACACTGATAAACATGGACATTATGATGACACACATTTATAATAACACAACACAGAAATTTTTAAAAAAAGTACTTAAATAAATTATAACAAATTAAATTAATACTCTGCGTGTGAAGTCAAAATTAAAACTGAACTCCAAACACTATCTATTCTGTACATCAATCGTTAAATGAAGACCAAAACAAAAACAAATAAGAAACGAAGAGTAGGCAAATGAGCAATCAACAGTATTAATTAATGGAAATAATTCAAAATCATTTCGCATGAACTATCAATATTATCTAAATCAGTTACTTTATTTAAACTATTACTTCCTTCTTTTTTTATAAAAAACATTTCTGAGAAAAGTCTTTTACTAAGAGTAGGTTCAATATCTAGCACTTCAAATTCATCCCATTTTATATTTTTATAAACTAATTTTTTAAAAACTATTTGTTCGAATGTTTTCGTTTAATTCTCCTTCACTATAATCAAAATTTAAATAAATCAAAAATTTATTAAAATCTTTTTTTTCTTAATTTGACACATTTATATTATTTACATTTCTCATAAATAAAAATCCCTTTATTTGTGTTTTTATAATAACTTTCATTATTACAAAATATTGATTGAATTACTTGAGAAATATTGAATGACTAATTCCTTGTTTTTTGATACTGATTTTTATTAATTACAATTGAATGAATTGTACCTCTAGAGGTACTAATTAGCAATTTTAATTTTTAATCTCTTTAAAAAATTATTTTAATGAATAACAAAATTAATAAAAATGTTTTTCATATTTTTCGTTTTAATTTAACATATTTTAAATTACGTCTATTTTTATAAACAAAAATCTCTTTATTTATGTTCTTTATATTATAATTTTTATTATTGCAAATAATATTATTTTTATAATTTTCAACAAACTAAAAGTTACTGCTCTGTTTTATGATACTGTTATGCCTTTACGTAGGCAACCCGCTTTACTCCGCACCTTACATATAGGGTGGATATCACGTCAAAACTCCACCCAAAAAAAAAATGTTGTCCAATTATTCCCAAATTTTTTTTATGATATGCCCTATAGGTTAGTAATTTATCATATAAATTTTTTTGAATTTTATAAAAAATTGTCCAAGGGGGAGGGGGTAGAAGTTCTGAACTTTTGCGTGACGCGCTCCACTTTGATTATTTCTTATAATTAGAGGAAAAAATTTTAAAAAAAATTAGAATATGGGTTTTTTAGATTTTTTCATGGGCTTTCGAATGGCAAAGTCTATTTTCAAAAATTTTTTTATTTTGACATAAATTTCGAAAAAATAAAAATAAATTTTCACTTTTCGCATCTTTGGGTTCATTTTTTCTTTTTCCTTTTATTTTTAAATGAAAGCTGAGCTTTTTTCTGATGAAATACTTGTTTTCCAAAAAACCGTTTTTTTTTGTTTTCGAGAAATGAATTTTTGAATATAGCGCATCACGTCGTCGCGCCGCAATTTAATTTATAAAACGTTACAATTAACTATTTTCTGCATTTTACAGGGTTGAGACTGACATTAGAACAATATAATGCCTGCATTATAGTTTTTTTTTATTTTTTTAAATTAAAAAAAATATTTATTTTTTAAAATTTTTAACAAAATTTAAAAAAAATTTTTTTTAGACTTTTATTTTTAATTTAATACCTACAATTTATTTATTTTCATTTCTAAAGTAAAAAAAAGCGAACAGAAAAATAAAATACAGGCATTAAATTAAAAATAAAATTGCAAAAAAATTTTGTTAAAAATTTAAAAAAATAAATATTTTTTTTAATTTAAAAAAATAAAAAAAAACTATAATGCAGGCATTATATTGTTCTAATGTCAGTCTCAACCCTGTAAAATGCAGAAAATAGTTCATTGTAACGTTTTATAAATTAAATTGTGGCGCGACGACGTGATGCGCTATATTCAAAAATTCATTTCTCGAAAACAAAAAAAAACGGTTTTTTGGAAAACAAGTATTTCATCAGAAAAAAGCTCAGCTTTCATTTAAAAATAAAAGAAAAAAGAAAAAATGAACCCAAAGATGCGAAAAGTGAAAATTTATTTTTATTTTTTCAAAATTTATGTCAAAATAAAAAAATTTTTGAAAATAGACTTTGCCATTCGAAAGCCCATGAAAAAATCTAAAAAACCCATATTCTAATTTTTTTAAAAATTTTTTCCTCTAATTATAAGAAATAATCAAAGTGGAGCGCGTCACGCAAAAGTTCAGAACTTCTACCCCCTCCCCCTTGGACAATTTTTTATAAAATTCAAAAAAATTTATATGATAAATTACTAACCTATAGGGCATATCATAAAAAAAATTTGGGAATAATTGGACAACATTTTTTTTTTGGGTGGAGTTTTGACGTGATATCCACCATAGCTGTAATTTGTCATCGCAAAAATGATATTGTGGTTCTTAGAAACATTGTATAGAGACAAAATAAATTTCTACGAATTCTTTCTATAATTACTTCCTCATAGAGGATGTATTGTAATACCAAAATTTTTCGAGTACGATTTTTTGACATATCTTTATGTTATTTGACCTCAGGAGTTCAAAAATGACATTTTTTAAAAATGTCATTCCGTATGTGTGTGTGTGTGTGTGTGTGTGTAAACATCACATTTTCATAAATATCTCGAAATCATGAAGAGCTTTTGGGTTGAATTTTTTTTAAATTGTAGATCTCACCTGCAGACATAAAATGAGAGTACTCTGAGATAGATTAATAAAGTTTATAACTAAATTTTTTTTTGGCTTTTTAAGTTTGCAAAAAAACGTTTTTTGCCTGTAACTTTGAAAAAAGGTAAGAACACCTATAAATGTTTTTCCATAATTTTGTAGAGTTTTTTCAGACGCATCTTTTGAGCCCTAATTGAACATTTTTTGTCCATATAGACCGGAGATATTAAACTTTTAGAAATAAAAAATTTTGGAAAAGAAGACCTTTTTGAAAATTTTGTTGAAAAATGTAGAAGTACCTTTAAAATTATCATTACCAACTTGTAGAGCATTAAAAAACGCTTGGATTGACCTATTTTTGAACCTAATTCGATAATAAATTTCAAAAATATTAGTATTTTAAAAACCAAAAATTGTGGAAAATGACATTTTTTAAACTTTTTTGTTTAATTCTTAACTATTATAAGTATCTTGTAGGGTATTTAAAAATACATTGATTGACCCAAGATTCAATCACTTTTATCATATTTAGCGGTTTTTTATTTTACTGTAAAGTCAGTTTTCTCAGTGCATGTTTTGAAATATTTTGATTATTGAAACCTTTTAAAATTTCAATTATTTTTAAAAGTTTACACTATAATGCTTTTAATATTCAATTATTATCTAAAATTATAATTAAAATTCATTTTTAAATCAATTTTTATTAGAAAATTCTACGAGAATTCAATTATTTAAATACAAAAATAAATAATTTATTAACTAAATGTTTCTTAAAATTGGATATTCTCATAAAGAATTTTATTAACAAATTTTTAAACAATTAAATTCTTTTGATGAATTTTAAAAAAATGTTAAGAATAATTAGATTTTTCGAGAAATTTGGTTGAAATTGTATTAAAAATAATATTGAAATTCTGCGCTAAGTTTAATTATTTATGAAAATAATTGAATTCTAGCAACGAATTTTATTATTTACGAAAATATAATTGAATTCCTGTAAAAATTTTATTATTTATAAAAGTAATTGAATTATTGTGAAGAAATTTATAAAAAAAATTTGTAAATAATTGAATTCCTGTAAATGTTGACTATTTCATTAAAATAATTAAATGTTTGCGTAGAATTTTATAAAAAATTTTAAAAATTAATTCTATTTTTCTTTTTAATTTTATAAAACTATAGTAGATATCGAAAAACATTAAATTAATGCAAATTTTTGAAAATAATTGAAATTTTGCCGAAAATTTTATTTAAATTTTCGAAAATAATTGAATTTCAGAGAAGAATTTAATTATTTCTAAGGGTCAGGTCAGATCTTCTCATGCAAAACTTATGTATGCAGGTTGACATGGTAGCGTTCAAGAGTGAGAAAGATAGGAAATTATTCTATCTCTCTCACTCTTGAACGCTACTATGGCAACCTGCATGCATAAGTTTTGCATGCGGAGGTCTGAACCGTCTGAACGCTCCCTAAAGGAAATTGTAATTTTGAGGAGAATTTGAACTTTGATTTATATTAATAAAAATAATAATGTACACATTATTTAAATAAAATAAACTTAAATTCTCAATATTTTCTTTAATTTTCTTATATTCTCATGAAAAAATTATTACCGTAATTTCCTTATTGGTTATTTTAAGGCATAAGCACAGTATTGCTTCACGAACGCGCAAAGCATGGGTTAGAAAAGGACAGAAATATATTTTTATCTCTATCTATCTCATGCGTCTTGCATGAGACACATTGGAGTAAGAGAGACAGAATCTGTCTCTCTTACTCCAATTCATGTTAAAATCAGAACCACTTTGTCATAACTTTATTGAATATAAAATTATTTTTAAAAATACTTTATATCATTGGAGTTAAACTATAGAAGAAAATAAATGGACTTCTTTTTTAAAGAAGAAATTCCAGATGAAATAGTATAAGCAAGTCGTTGGCAGGTGTCGCTGCGTTTCTGGAGAGATGCAGCGATGTAGCCGGGTGTAGCCGCCGACCACTGATGCAGTAGCGCGTCGGTCTCCGCCATTTTTAGTTGACAAATTAAGCATCTGTAGAGATCTGTCTGATTGTGTTAAAAAAAAAGATAAAAGTCAATTTATATAAGTGTCTAATTAATAACATTTCTCTGTGTTCCGGTTACCGGACTTCCGCTATTTTTCATTAACTGAAAAACGGTAAGTGAACGGAATATTTGACGGGAATTTATCGGGGAAGGTGCTTGAAAAATATTATTCGTGTTTACGCTGGGTGTGTCAAAGCACTCGCTCTCGTCTATCGCCTCTCCCCCCTCCTTCCTCCCTCCTGGCCATCCCTTTGAAAAATCCCATTCCTCTTTCTTTACCCCCTGTATTTGATGCTGCAATATACGCATACTTCTGACAACTACCACTACTAATTGACAGAATACAACGATGCAATGCACACTTCGGCCCTTTGTCGTTTGATGCGTCGCCTACGCTTTAAAACTTTACATTTCTAAAAAATCGAACAATGAATTCTCTTGTATATTTTGCTAATTTCACTTTCTTATTTTTTCATTAAAAAAAATTATTCATGATTTCCTTTCAAGTGTTTGTGTTTTTTAAACAAGTTTTCGAGTGATTGTTTATAAACACCTCAGAGTATAAAAAGTGGAAAGAAATTTTCTTCCGTTCTCAAGATTTCTCCTCCACAGCTACATCACCGATTTGTTAGTGTAATGTTTTGTGTGGATGAGTCGTTTATTTTCTTAGAAAATTATCGCTCTATTAATACCTACATTTCTATTTTAATTTTTATTATTATTCAACTAGATAAATTATTCTTTTTGTAAAATTTTTAATTTTAGTTGTCTTTTTATTAAAATAAAACTTTTATTTTATTGAAATAAAAAATATGACATTTTAAAATATTTTGGTTAAAACAAAAAGAAGTGAAAATTTTACACTCACTGTAGTGACACGATGACTCAGAATTTACAATAAACTTTTACATTTATAAGAAGTGAAATAATTGTGTGATACTTTTTTTAAACAAAAGTTTGCTTTGTTAATTTACTATTACTTTTAAAATGCTTTTTCTCTTAGTTTGAATTTATTTTTTTAAAATAAAGATTATATTCTAAATTAATTCAAAATTACAAAACTCCAAAAATGTTGGACGTTTTTTGAAAATATTTTTTCAAAAATTAGTGAATGCAATAAAAAGGAAAATTAAATATTTTAGAACTTTATAAATTATTAATAAATAGTGTAATTTAACGATCAATCTGAGTCAAGGAAATTAAAATAATAGAAATCCTCTTCAGAAACTATTAAATTTATTAATAAAAAATGTTTTTAAAAAAGTTTTTACAATTTGTTAATTGAAACAATAAAAATTAAAAAATAAAGTATTTACCGAAAAAAAAGAAAATTAAAATATTGTAATTATAAATAAATGTTAAATATATATATAAATTATTTTTTATACTTGTCAAACTATTTTAAAAGAATTTGAATTTAAAAAAATAAAATAAGTTTCATTATCATGTGTTGCATAGAAACAAGAATTACTAAAAATTAATCTCAAAATATGATTTTTAAATAATAGAAGAAAAATGTTTTTCAGTTTTAGGTATATTAATATTATGATATATTTGAAATAGTAAATATTTAAGGGTAAACAATTATAAATATCATTATTAATGGCTCATAATTTAGAAAGTTAATTATTATCCTGCTTTTAAAGGGACAAAGAGATTTAGTGCTTAAATCTTAGGTACTAATGTCCTCAGCAGGATATTTCCTCTATCCAAATTTAAATACTTTTATTGATGTATTGTTTATCTACAGGTGGGGAAATCCGTCGGAACCATGAGTTACCAAATGGCATCAAATCAATCCCGACCCAGTGAGTATATTCAAAAAAGAATTTACGATTTTATGTAACACTTGATCCTTTATACAATAAGGGTCATTCTCTGGAGAAAACGAGCAAAAATTAAAATTTATTGACTCGAAACTCCAGTATAAATTGTTGCCCTATATAAGTGTAAAAAAATTCCTAAAAAATTAAGTTTAAGAAAGAAATGTAAATAGTAGTGGGGGGTTGAACTTTTCAAATTTGAAGTAACATTGTTGCATTCAAATCTTTATCAGGAAGCATTCGACAAAGAATCGAAAAAAAAGTTACTCCAATGTCATCAAAGATTTCAATTTGAAATTTAAAAAACTTCGCATAGATTCAATTATTTTCAAAAATTTGTTTAAATTCTCGTTAAAATTTCTATTATATTTATAAATTAATAAAATTCTTCTCCAAAATTCAATTAATTTAAAAAAATTTAAAAAACTTCTTGGCAAAATTTCAAATATTTTCAAAAATTCTCCTCATTTCAATTATGTTTAATATCTACTATTTTAATAAAATTTTCCAAAAGAATTAAAATATTTAAACAAAATTTTAATAAAAATTTCACAGGAATTCAATGAGTTACCAATTTATTATAAATTTCTTGGTACCAATTCAATTATTTTTATTTTTAATTTTTCAATGAAAGTTTCTCGAAGGAATTCGAATATATTCAGAGAATTGAAAAAATTAGTTCTGAGAAATTCAATTATTTCGAAAAATTTAAATAAATTTCTTTTAAAAATTCTATTATTTAAAAAAATTTTGACAAAATTCTTTACAAGATTTAGGGAATAAAATTGCAATTTTAATAAAATTTTCCTGTACAATACAATTCTTCTTAAGAATTCAATTATTTTCACAAATAATACATTTTTTATGGGAATTCAATTATTTCAAAAAATTTGAATAACATTCGTCTTAAAAAATCAATTATTTACATAAATAATAAAATTTTTCTCAAAAATTCAAGTATTCAAAAAAATTTTGATAAAATGTTTTATGAATTTGAAAAAATTATAATAAAATTGATCACAGAATACAATTATTATTTTCGTAAAATATAACATGCTTCCTAGGAATACAATTGTATTCCTATAGTCTATTCAATTATTTTCGTAAAAAATAAAATTCTTCGAAGCAATTCAATTACTTATTTACGAAATTTTAATAAAATTCTTCCCAAAGAATAGAATTTTTTTTAAAAATAAATTTTTTCACCGGAATTGAATTATTAAACAAAAAATTTAACAAAATTCTTCCGATTTCAATTATTTTCAATTTTCTTAATAAAATTTAATTATTTTCAAAAAGTTTTTAAAAAATCTGAAAAATTCAATTATTTGAAAAAATTTAAATAAAATTCTTCTCAAGAAATTAATTATTTTTATAAATAATATTTTTCTCCGGAATTCAATTATTTTCCCAAATTAAAATTCTTCATAGAAATTCAATTATTTTCAAAATTCTAATAAAATCGTTCTCAAGAATTCAATTATTTTCATAAATAATAAAATTCTTCACAGAATTTCAATTAAAAATTTTCAATTATTTAAAAAATATAAAATTATTTAGAAAAATTTAATAAAAATCGTTACAAGAATTCAATTAATTTCATAAATGATAAAATTCTTCACAGGATTTCAATTATTTTTTATACAATTTTAAACAAAATGATAGAAATATGCATTTATTCTTAAATTTTTTTTTTAATTTGACGAAAGGAGTCAATTATTTTTAAAAATTTTGATAAAATTCTTCATAAAAATTCCATTTTTAGAAATAATTGATTTTTGATAAGGATTCAAATTAAAATCTGTGAAGATTTGAATTTATATTTTCAATATTTCTTTGAGTATCTAATAATTTTTAGAGTGAATCAGAATATTTTTTAGAGTCAGGGGAAAGGTCAGGGACAAAATTTTATATCAGTAAAGTTAGGAAAATGTCAGAAAAAAATTTTTTTGGCAGGGAAATTAAAGAATTAAAACAGATAACTGTTTTAATTTCGAAGAAGCCTTTAGCTAATGAGCACCAGGTAGCAAAATTTAAATTTTTAAATACTTTCTATTATTCTAATGTTATAAATTTTATAATAATTTTTACCAGTAGTTCATACAAGAAACATGATTTTTCACTTTCAAACAAACATTTTTTTTGCTTTGAATAAACAAATTTTTGTCAGGAAAATTCGTTTTAATGTCAGGGAAATTAATAAAGTCAATCTTGCGGCCACCGTGGTTTAGTTAAATTAATTCAGTTTATTATTGAATTTTCCTTTTTTAACTTATTTTTCCCATTCCCCATGTTTTGTTTATTTTAATTTACAATTAAAAATATTTTTTAAATATTTACATTTTTTTATCTGATCCCCATATATGATTAAACTAGGTTAAATGTGAACAATTATTTTGTAGGTTAGACAGGGTTCCTACAGAATCTGGAAATCATGGAAATCATGGAAATGGTATGGAATTTTTAAAAGGCTTCTGGAAATCATGGAAAAGGCCTGGAATTTTTAAAAGTTTCTAAATTTTTCCTGTTTTCCATTTTTTCTCTTCAATATAAATTCAATTAGAAATTTTAAAATATAATATATATATACTACACGACGTGGAAATTAAATTTAAAATTCCACTGGAATTTCCTAAAAATTTGACCTGGAAATCATGGAAAAGGTATGGAATTTTAAATTCGGATTTCTGTAGGAACCCTGTTAGATGTACAGCCATATTGGAATGAAAAGACTCACGGTTTCTGTTATCTACACCAAAGTCAATTTAAAAATATTTTTTTTAAATTACAAAAAAAGAAAGTTTTTGGAGAATCTGCTTAAAGTCCAATACTTTATATCTTCAGTTATTAGGTGAAAGTTATTAAATTTTGGCAAAAGAAATTTAGAAGTTTTAAATAAAAGTTCTCTTAAACAAATATATCTTTAAAGGAAAATTCAGTTGAAAAACTCATTTAGATAGAAATTTTTTTTCTAGAAAATTTTATGAGAATTTAGGAGAAAAGTTTTATGCACCTGAAATTTGTAAAGACAGATCAAAGATAATGAAAAGCAATGCAGAGAATATATACTGAACAGACACAAGTCGCAAAGTACATACATATATGCTGAACCTCACATTTTCAATGATTTATATACAACTTTTAGTAAATACAGAAATGTGAACACAGGAAAAAGAACTGTTTGATGACTGAAAAAGCAGGAGAGTTAACATAGATTTCTTTCAATTTAAAAATACGACTGTAAAAAAGGGAGAAAAGAGGGGAAAATAAAAAAGAATTCTATTTATCATTTCCTAGAATGATAATGAGCTTGAATTGCAAATAGAGGAATGAGAAAACAGCAAAAATTATTTTCAATACTTTAAACTTCAAAATTAATACACTTATTCTGTTAATAGCAATTATACATTTGCCTTTTTTCGCAATTGTTTTCTTTTATCTTTAAACTACAGACTTCAAGTCTTAATTTTAAAAAAATGCATTTAATCATTTTCATTCGTTTCGGAGTAATAATGAAAATAAAATAAAATTACCTTAAACTTCAACATTTCATCACTTAACGGAGAAAAATATAAAGTAACTTTTACTACTTTTATAGTAAAATATTTCCGGTAAAGTATTTCTGGTAATTTTGACTATACTTTTGGAGTAAATTTTGCTACGTTCGAAGTACATATTTGTAAAAATTAATAAAATTTACTTCGAACGTAGCAAAATTTACTCCACACTGAGAGAAATGGACCCAAGTTAATACAACCAGAAAAAAGTGGTTAATGAAATGCAGTTACTGGACCAACTTAAAATTGTCTTTGCAACATGTTTTCTGGTTACAGTAACCAGAAATTTAGTTATGTTAACTAAAATTGCCAAAAAAAACAATCCTAGTTGTGACAACCATGATCTGTGGTGAAATTTGTCTTCAACTACGAACACATGTTATAGCAAAACTTTAGTGAAAAGTTGTAGGAAAATGAAACCTGGTAGTAGTAACCAGTCAATTTGTTAGATTTCAGTAGTCGGGAGCAAGCGCAGTACGTCTTTATACTTTCTGCTATAGTTTGACTTTTAACACAAATGAACACAACGAAGAATGCACTCATCAAGTTTTTATTTTAAAGTATTTTATGGTTTTCCATCTTTCTTCTTATTAACAAAAGTGTATAAAGTAAAAGTGAATATGATGCTGTTGATGTAAATCTTTTTACTTATTTCAGTGACAGTATTGTTGACAATTAATTAGATAAATGCAATTAATGATTTCATATAACCTATATGTTTTTGACGATTTTTAAAATTATTTTTATGAAAACAAAGGATGGACTACATTATTTATAAGTATTGTGAAAATAAATTCTAAAATAAGAAGATGAAAAAATATATAATTTTAACCTCTTAATCATAGATAACATACATCGTTGTCTATTATATAGCTTTACATTCCCATCCACAATTTCAGTGTCAACCACGATCCTGGTTACTATAACCAGGAATTAAATTTATATTAACCATGTTTTATCGTCAAGACAACTATGTTCAGTCATGTTCGAACAACTTGAATCGTAGTCAAAGACGTTTTTCACCACGAAAATTTGGTTGTATGAACCAGGAATTTCTCTCAGTGCAAAAGTAGTCAAAATTACCAGAAATTTTTTACTATAAAAGTAGTAAAAGTTACTTTATATTTTTCTCTGTGTTCCAAAATAAAAAAAAAATTTGATAAATATTTTAGAGGGTAAAATATTTATTTTTATATATCTAGCAAAAATCATAGATAACTTGAAAATCAGAGGCAAAAGTTTTTTCTATAGACGCTTTAAGACTTATCGATTGACCTTTTTTTAATTTTACACGACCTGAATTTCATTAGTTCTTAAAATTTTCAGAAGTCATAATTTTTTAAAAACATTATAATTTTAAGATTTTTTTTCTAATCATTTTAATTTAATCTCCTGAGAATTCATTGATTACATTTTATTTTCTAACCTTTTATGATTCTCTTGTTAAAAATATAATTTGCTTTGAAACATTCAGAAAGAAAGTAAATCTTTATAAAGAATTTCTTGGATGCTTAATTAATATTATTATTGTTATTATGTTATTACTTATCAATATTCTTTGCTTTTCATTATATTTATGTCAAATTTGATTTTTTAATCAATTATTTAAATATTTTTATAAAATTCTTTAAAAAGAAATTAATTATTTTCTAAAAATTTGTTTATGGGAATTAAATTATTTTCATAAATAATAAAATTCATCGCAAATTAAATTACTTTTAATATAATTTTAATAAAATTTCTCGAAAGAATTCAATTATTTTTAATAAATTTTAATAAAATTCAATATACGAATTGAATTATTTTTAATGCAGTTTTAATTTAATTCGTCGAAAAAATTTGCAAGAATACTTTTTTTTAAAATTTTAATAAATTCTTCATAGAAATTCAATTGTTTTCATACATAATACAATTCTTTAGATAAATTCAATTATTTTTAATATAAGTTTAATAAAATTCTTCGAAAGAATTCAATTATTTTCAAAAATAATAAAATTCTTTAGAGGAATTCAATTATTTTGAATACAATTGAGCTCCCGCGTCCAATAACTCGATCTGCGCTTGAACTGAAAAATTCAAGCCAGTCAAGCCGGCAGAAAATGGAAAAAAATAAAAGTCGGAATTTTTAATTTTAAAACATACTACCGTATAGAGCATAAAAATGCCCAACTTTTTTGTCTTTGAAATTTTTCTGTAGAACTTTTATTTTTAATAATAATGGACAAAAACTGAATTTTTTTTATTCTTCAATTTCATTGAATTTCAAAACATAAATCGACTTTTCTCAAACAAATCTTAATGAAATTAATTAAAAATTGATATACTTACTTATCAGGGTCTACCGAAGACGATGAAGTGATTGAAACATTAAAAAAAGTTTATTGAAAAATTATTTGTTAATATAAATACAGATCTGTCAATAAATACGTTTTCTCAACTTTGTTGAGAAAAAGTGTGCGGTGAACTTTCGAGTTGACACAACTTCCAGTGAGACATTTGTTTATTAACATGTGAAGAAGTTTTTTGGAAATTTTTATTTAAATCGGATGAAAAATAAAGAAAATACATAATGTTTAAAAAAATATGCGTCGTGCGGTGTTTTGACATTTCGACGCAAGAGGAGAAAACTATTGGAAACTAACAGTGGTCGCCTTTTAAAAATGGCTGCTTGAACGTAAACGTAATTTCAAAAGGATTTTTCTCCTAATTTGGACAGTTATTGCAAAATAGAAAAAAACCAGTTATCCTGAAAATTTGCTTTTTCATTTGTACACAAGAAATTGAAAATCCAATATAATACACGACGTTAGGAAGTAAAATATGAGAATTAGATATGCCCATTAGGTGCTGCCCTCTGGTGGTAATTTTATGCATCGCGCATTTGTTTAACTTTTACCTATTTTTCTTCCTGTCGTTGTAAATCTAAATAAATCTTTTACTGCCTATCATATTATAAATGTATAGAATTGTTTTTATTTTAAATATAATACATGAATAAACTTATTTTTAAATAAATCAACAGAAAATAGCAATAGTTTCCAATAGTTTTCTCCTCTTGCGTCGAAATGTCAAAACACCGCACGACGCATATTTTTTTAAACATTATGTATTTTCTTTATTTTTCATCCGATTTAAATAAAAATTTCCAAAAAACTTCTTCACATGTTAATAAACAAATGTCTCACTGGAAGTTGTGTCAACTCGAAAGTTCACCGCACACTTTTTCTCATCAAAGTTGAGAAAACGTATTTATTGACAGGTCTGTATTTATATTAACAAATAATTTTTCAATAAACTTTTTTTAATGTTTCAATCACTTCATCGTCTTCGGTAGACCCTGATAAGTAAGTATATCAATTTTTAATTAATTTCATTAAGATTTGTTTGAGAAAAGTCGATTTATGTTTTGAAATTCAATGAAATTGAAGAATAAAAAAAATTCAGTTTTTGTCCATTATTATTAAAAATAAAAGTTCTACAGAAAAATTTCAAAGACAAAAAAGTTGGGCATTTTTATGCTCTATACGGTAGTATGTTTTAAAATTAAAAATTCCGACTTTTATTTTTTTCCATTTTCTGCCGGCTTGACTGGCTTGAATTTTTCAGTTCAAGCGCAGATCGAGTTATTGGACGCGGGAGCTCAATTTTAATTCAATTCTTTAAAATCTTTTAATTACTTTCGAAAATTTCGACAATATTTTTCAAACTAATTTACTTATTTTCAAAAATTAAAATTTAATAAAATTCAAGGCGAATATTCAAATAATATCATGAATATAATAAAATTTTCAAAGTAATCTAATTGTGTAAAATCATTTATTTAAATATTTTAATAAAATTCTTAGGAAAGAATTAATTATATTCTAAAACTTTGAAAAAATTTGCTTATAATAGGTAAATTATTATTTTCATAAATAATAAAATTCATCGCAAAAAATCAATTATTTTTAATCCAATTTTAATTAAATTATTCGAAAAAAAGAATTTATAATTATTTTTACAAATTTTAAAATTTTTCCCAAGAATTAGATTATTTAAGAAAATTTAGTATAATTCATTACAAGAATTCAATTATTTTCAAAAATAATAAAATTCGTTGCAGGAATTCAATTATTTTTATAAATATTAAAATTCCTTTTCTAGAATTCAATTATTTTTATGAATAATAAAATTTTTCACAGAATTTTAATTGTCAAATTTAGTTGAAATAAATTTTGTTTTAAAAAAATAAGTTTCTTACTTTTAAAAATTATTTTAAAATGTAATCGAATTTTTGAAAAATTCTAAAAGTTTGGAAAATAATTGAAGTTTAGAAGATTCAATTTTTTTCAAAATAATTTTAATAAAATTCTTCGCAGAAATCCAATTATGTTAAAAAATTTACAAAAATTCTTGTCAAAATTTCAATTATCTTTATAAATAATAAAATTTTTCTCCGAAATTAAATTATTTTCAAAAATTTTAATAAAATTCTTGGCAGAATTTCCAATTATTTTTAATACAATTTTCATCAAATTTCTCGAAAAATAAAATTATTCTTAAAAATTTTATTAAAATTTTATTATCTAAAAAATATTGATTTAAAAATGAATTTCAAATTAAAATCTTTGAAAATTTGAACTTTTCATACTTTTAATTAAGAATTCTGTAGAATTATTTTTTCTGAAAAAGTTTAATGGAATTTTTTAAAATTATTTGTAGTTTTTAATTTCTAATAATATATTTAATTGAAGAATGTCAGAATAATCGAAATTTCGTAATATTAAATTGTAAACAAAAGAATTTGTAAATTCAGAAAAAACTTTTTCAAAAATTGACTTAAAGAAGAATTTTCAGGGTCGCCACATGTCAGTAAAATCAGAGAAATGTCAGGAAAACAAAATTTTTGTTAGTAAAGTCAGGGAAATTATAGGAAAAAAAAATTTTTTGTCAAGGAATTTAAGGAAATTTAGACTTTTTTCATTTACAATAAAAATCTTTTTGAATAATTGAAATTTTCTAAAATTTAATTAAAAATACTTTTCACCCGTTTATTTACCAAATAAAATAAAAAATAAAAATAATTAATTTTTTCAAGTATTTTATTACAATTTTTAAAATTCAACTTTTGAAGAATTTTAATTGCAAATTTTGAAAATAATTTAATTATCAAAAATGTTAATGAAAAATCTTTAAATTTAAAACTTAAAATTGAAAATTAATGAAAATTAGCTTCTAATTTTTTAAAATTCAATATTTTCAATTACATATTTTCGAAAATTCAAATACACACAAAAAATAATATTTTAGAAATTATTTTTAACATTTTGGAGAAAAAAATTATGTTAAAAATTTTTAATTAAAATTTCATCAAAAAATTAATTATTTTTTCTAAATTACATTAAAATATTTTTAAAAATTGTATCTTAGAATTGTTTTATCACGATTTTTTTAGAGTTATAAAAAAATTATAAATTTTAATAATTAAAATTCTTTAATAATTTGATTATTTTTATCTATATTTTTTAAAAATTCAATTATTTTTAAAAGATTTTACCAAATTTTATTTTTTTTTGAAAATTTGTCATTTATTTTTTCAAAAATATAATTAAAAAACTATTATCCTTCAAAAATTATTGAAAAATATTTTTTTAAAAATTAATTATAAGAATTTTTTATAATAATTTTTTGAAAATATTTTACCTTAATAATTTAAGAAAAAAACACGGACAGTTTCAATTATTATAAAAAATTGAGTTTTTGTATTTAAATAATTGAATTCTAGAAGAATTTTCGAAAATATTATTTAAAATAATTGACTTAGAAATGGAGTTTAGTTAAAAATTGTAGAAAATAATTGAATTCACGTAGGGTTACAATTATAATTTTTTAGAAATTATTAAAATTCATATATTTTACTCATTATCCATAAACTTTCATATTTTTCTGTAAAAAGAATTTTTATAAAAAAAATAATGATTATTTATTTAAAAATGAAGTTGTTGATGTTTTCGAATAATTTTCGTTTTGAAAACCTGGAAAAATTTCGTTTTTTAACCTAGAAAAGTCGGAATTTGAAAAGAGCAAAAGCGTGTGGAAACCTAAAAAAGAATAAATAATAGACAAAAAATTGTTACATGAACATTTATTTCAGTGTCGCATGGAAGTTATCAGGGTCCTGGGGACCTTCCCATGGGATCTGCTAAGGAACAAACACTTATGTGGCAGCAGAATTCATACATGGGTGATTCCGGTATTCATTCGGGAGCCGCCACTCAGGCGCCTTCCCTTTCTGGAAAGGAAGATGAAGAAATGGAAGGAGATCAGCTGATGTTCGATCTTGATCAAGGCTTCGCACAAGGATTCACTCAAGATCAAGTAGATGGTAAATATGTTTCATTTTCTATGCTTGAATTTAATTTTTGATAATTACCAGTTGACAAGGTTTACAATAACAAAATATTGCTATTTTATTGTAGAAATGAACTCTCAACTGAGTCATACTCGCTCTCAGCGAGTACGAGCTGCCATGTTTCCCGAAACGCTTGAGGAGGGAATCGAAATTCCATCGACACAATTTGATCCAGCTCAGCCGACTGCAGTTCAACGATTGGCGGAGCCAAGTCAAATGTTGAAACACGCTGTGGTTAATCTCATCAACTATCAAGATGACGCGGAACTTGCAACTCGCGCTATTCCCGAATTGATCAAACTGTTGAACGATGAAGATCAAGTCGTTGTCTCTCAAGCGGCAATGATGGTCCATCAACTCTCAAAGAAGGAGGCTTCACGTCACGCCATAATGAACAGCTCTCAAATGGTGGCCGCTTTAATTCGCGCCATTTCCAACAGCGACGATCTCGAGTCGACCAAGGCTGCAGTTGGCACTCTGCACAATTTGTCACATCACAGACAAGGTTTATTGGCAATTTTCAAAAGTGGCGGTATTCCAGCGCTCGTCAAGCTACTCAGCTCTCCCATGGAGTCAGTTCTATTCTACGCCATCACAACTCTTCACAATCTTCTCCTTCATCAAGAGGGATCAAAAATGGCTGTTCGGCTCGCTGGGGGCCTGCAAAAAATGGTCGCTCTTCTGCAGCGAAACAACGTTAAATTCTTGGCAATTGTCACCGATTGCCTGCAGATTCTTGCTTATGGAAATCAGGAGAGCAAACTCATTATTCTCGCTTCGCAGGGACCGATCGAATTGGTCAGAATTATGCGTTCGTATGATTATGAGAAGCTCCTGTGGACAACATCAAGAGTTCTTAAAGTTCTTTCAGTTTGCTCGAGCAATAAGCCAGCGATTGTTGAGGCCGGAGGAATGCAAGCATTGGCTATGCATCTTGGTAATCCGAGTCAGAGGCTAGTGCAAAACTGCCTTTGGACTCTCAGAAATTTATCAGACGCTGGAACTAAAGTTGATGGTTTGGGAGTTTTGCTTCAAGGACTGGTACAAGTACTTGGATCTAGCGATGTTAATGTCGTCACATGTGCCGCTGGCATCCTCTCCAATCTCACTTGCAACAATCATCGCAACAAGGTAAATCACTTGTTGCAGGCGGCATTGCTTTTTGCTTTTTATTTCAAAGACACAAAAGTGTCGATTTCCGTTATCAGATAACAGGGAGTAAAGTATTCTTCAAACAAAATATATATTTGAGATCTGTTATATATATATTTTGAGTCTTGTTTTGTCACTCGCAAGAAATGGCAGTGTTCAGTCTTAACGATATCTTATTTATATTGACGAATTTTAAGACGTGTTACAAATGTAACGAATTATTTGTTTCAACAATTTTTTAAACTTTTTTAAAAAATGACTAGTGGCCTGATGATGGTGTCAAACCAAGACACCGAAACGTTGCACAAGTGATACAAGTGTTTCATTTACTACTCTTCCGATAATCGATTTAAAAACTTTAACAAATTACAACAACGGAAGAAAATAAACGATTATTACTATATATTTGAGATCAATTCCGTTATATTTCGACTAAAGTCGTTGCCGATTAGTTTATAAAAATTCAGGGTATGGAAAACCTGGAAATAGTATGGAATTCAAAAAATATTATAGAAAACCTGGAAATGGTATCGAACTTAAACAAATTTCTCAAATTTTGCCCGTTTTTCAAAAATTTAAAAAAAAATTTGATTTAAAATTGAAAAATGTTTTTACATGACGGCCACACGTCAGTCAAGTCAGGAAAACAAAGTTTTTGTCCGTAAAGTCAGGGAAATGACAAGAAAATATTTTTTTTGCCAGGGAAATTAAGAAAATTGAAACTTTCTTCGATTTATTTTCAAAAATTGAGACTTTCGACTTTTTTTCTAAATATTGCAACAAATTTTTTAGTCATTAAGCCATTTTTTAGTCTAAAATGAAAATTATTTCGATTTTTATAGTGCGAAAAATAACTACAAACGTATCTTTCAAAAATTATATTTGAATCACTTTTTTAAGATAATTAAATTTTCAAATTATATCTATAATAGAAATCTTTTTGAATAATTGAAATTTCGTAAAATTTAATTGAAAATAATTCAGCTTTTTTTAAGTATTTTGTTATAAATTTTTAAAATCAACTTTTGTAGAATTTTAACAGCATATTTTGAAAATAATTGAATCATTTATCAAAATTGTTAATGGAAAATATTTGAAAATAAAAATTAATGAAAAGTAGCTTAAAATTTTTTGATCATAATTTTTTAAAATTCAATTATCTTCGAACAAAGTAAATAAAAATTTATGAAAATTTTCTTTTTTAGACTTATTGAAATTTCGGACAAATCATGGTCTTATTTATAATTAAAATTCTTCAATAATTTGAATATTTTTATTTATATTTTTCAAAAATTCAATTATTTTTAAAAGATTTTAACTTAAGAAAAAAAGGTGGAAAGTTACAATTATTATAAAAAAATTGAGTTTTTATATTTAAATAATTGAATCTTAGAAGAGCTTTCGGAAAATTATTGAAAATAATTAATTTAGAGATGTAGTTTAGTTAAAAATTTAATTATTCAATTATTTTTGAAATTTTTTATAAAATTCTTTGCAACTATTCAATTATTTTCATAAATAATAAAATTCATTGTAGGATTTCAATTATTTTAATCAATTATTTAAAAATATGTTTTTATAAAATTCTTCCCAGGAATTCAATTATTTACAAAAATAACAATTAATAATTATAATTTTATATCAATTTAAAAAATTAATTCATCACAAGAATGCAATTATTTTTAAAAGTAATAAATTTTTTTTTGGAAATTCAATTATTTAAAAAAATTCTATTAAAATCGTTCGCTAGAATTCAATTATTCTCAAAAATTTTAATAGAATTCTTTGTAAAATTTAATTATTTTCAAAAAGTTTTCGCCATTCAATGAGTTTAAATATCTACTATTTTCATAAAATTTCCAAACAGAATTCAATTATTTTCATAAATAATAAAATTCATCGCAGGATTTCAATTATTTTTAATCCAATGTTACAGAAATTGCACAAAAAATTTAATTATTCTTAAAAATTTAATTTCGATTCTTCGAAAAAATCAATTATTTAAAACAATGTTTTTTTTAAATTCTCTGGAAGAATTCAATTGTTTACAAAAATTTTAGGACTTTTCACAGGAATTAAATTATTTTCAATAAAATAATTAAAATTTCACAGACATTCCAATATTCTCAAAAATTTTAATAGAATTCTTTGTAAAATTCAATTATTTTTAAAAACTTTTCCTAATTCAATGATTTTCAATATCTACTATTTTCATAATATTTCCAAACAAAATTGAATTATTTAAAAAAAATTTTGTAATAATCTTCGTAAGAATTCAATTATTTTCATGTATAATAAAAATTTCTCAGGAATTCAATTATTTAAATTATAATTTGCATAAAATTAGTCGAAAGAAATAAATTATTTAAAATTTTTATAAAATTCTTCGCAAGAATTAAATTATTTTTATAAATATTTAAATTCTTTCACGAAAAATAAAACTCGTTGCAGGAATTGAATTTATTAGCAGGATAAGAAAGAAGTTAATATTTTTGATGAAAATTAGGAAAAAGTCAAGAAATTAAAAAATATGGAATGGAATTTTTGTCAGCTTTGTAAAGTGTCTATAACGAATTTTTTTTGGTTGTCAAGTTTAATTTTTTAATAGCTACTTTTTTACTACTTTTTTTTAATTTAAAAGCTACTTTTTGCTACTTCCTTAAAATTAATTATCGAGTGCGAAATCTGTGAAGCATTAATTTTTTACATATTTAAAGGAATTCCTTACTTAAAGATACAAATTTTAATATAAAATGAATTTGAAGATTGTTAAAGTTGGAAAAATAAATTTCGCAGTAATTACAATGTAGTTGAATTATTTTTAAATACAATTATTTTTGCAGGAAACGGTTTGTCAAGTTGGAGGAGTTGATGCTCTTGTACGCACAATTGTGAATGCAGGAGACAGAGAAGAAATTACGGAGCCAGCTGTTTGTGCTCTCCGTCATTTGACTTCTCGTCATCAAGAGGCAGAAATGGCACAAAATGCAGTGCGCATAAATTACGGTATCCAAGTTATTGTAAAACTTCTTCAGCCTCCTTCTCGATGGCCATTAGTGAAGGCGGTTATTGGTCTCATTCGGAATTTGGCTCTATGTTCTGCAAATCATGCTCCACTTCGCGAACACGGAGCTATTCATCATCTCATCAGACTTCTCATGCGAGCGTATCAGGATACTCAAAGGGTAAATTTTTATCAATTCATAAACTCATTTACTCATTTTTCGTACTAGAACTATAAACTAAAGTGAAAATATACGTATTATACGGTTTTAAATTTTTTCAAGTATAAAAACGATTTTATTTTAAGTTTTCATTTATAGTTGACATTGAAAAATTTGTTTTTTTCTTTCAGCAACGATCATCTGTAGCTAGTGCTGGAAGTCAATCGACACCTGGAGCCTACGCCGATGGGGTAAGAATGGAGGAAATTGTTGAAGGAACTGTCGGAGCTCTTCACATTCTTGCTAGAGAATCACACAATAGAAGTGTTATTCGATCTCAAACTGTCATTCCAATATTTGTTCAGGTAAACAAATTTTCAAATCTACTAGACTTTTTTTTCTCTAAAATTTAAATTTTCATTTTAGTTTTTCTCACGAATAGTTACAATCGATACAAGTTATCTATAGTTGAGTAAAACAACGAAGATTGTACATTTTAAATCATATATAGCCATTCCAAAAATAATCATCTATAAATAGAGTTACGTAACTTTTTTATCAAAAAAAAAAAAAAATAGGATAGAAAGTGGCAATAAAACACTCTCACGTTTAAAATTATTTTTCCAAGAATATAAATCGAATTTTAAATTAGCGAAAATTTTGCATCTGTTGGTAATCTTTCACGCAGATATTCTAAAGTGCAAATTTAATTTAATAAATTTAATAACTTGAATAATAACTTCATTCAAATAAATAAAATAAATATAAAATAAATAAAATAAATAAAATAAATAAAATAAATAAAATAAATAAAATAAATAAAATAAATAAAATAAATAAAATAAATAAAATAAATAAATAATAAAAAGAGAATTCTAATAAATTGCTATTGAAATTGTTTTTAAAAAATTCAAATTGTTCATTAAGTTTTAAAGTAAAACACTGAAATGAAACCAAAAAAGTAGTTTTATTAAAAATGTAATATTTTTCTTCAATTGTACACTTGTACAGTAATTTTGAAAAATTTAAAAAGAAATCTAATATACATAAATATATTGAATTACTTGAAAAATATGAACTGCGTCAATGAGGGCCGGCTTCAAGACTCAGGTGCTATGAGAAAAACGTGGAATTTCTTTTGATATCCCTCTAAAGAGAGTCAGGTAACGTTTTTCTTATTCAGGTAACGTTTGCTTTCATCCTCTGTCCTTGAAAGGAACTTAAGAATATCTTTGTTTAAATTTTACACATCTTTTTCTGTCAAAGAGAAATAACTCATAAAATCTCTTCCTTCGCCTAATTCGTACTTCTACTTATTTAAAAAATAATAATAAAACTTTAGCTATTTAAATAAACCATAAAACAATGTTTATAAATATCAGAGACTTTTTTAAAAATCGTGCAACTTGATTTAGATGATTTTTTTTTGGAATGACAATATTATAAATAATAAGAATAATAATATTAATAATAATAGTATTGTTATTAATAATATTATTAATAATTAAAAATAATTTTATACAAGGAGAGAGAATAAATATTTAATTTTTTAAAAGTATTTTACAAATTGAGGAAAAAATGCGACAAAGCGAAATTTTGATATAAAAAGTACTGCACTTCAAAAGAAATTATATGAAATTTAGTAAATTTATATTAAAATTTAATTAACATTCTTGATATTTGATATAACTATACTAAATTTCAGGTAAGTTTTTTTTAAGTTTAGTATTTTTTTAAATAAAAATTTCACTTTGTCGCATTTTGTTCCACAAATTGTAAAATACTTTTACAAAATGTAATATTTATTTTCTCTCCGTGTTAAGTTTTTTAAGATTCTTGAGAATCTTCATATTCTTCTTTTATACATTTACTCATTTTGTCCACACCTGAAGTGAGTCATTTATATTTATGATTTTTTTATACGCTTTGATAGATTATAATTATATTTTTTTATTTTATTTGTTACTTTTTAATTAATTGAAAAAATTGTTTATTAATTTAAAACTATTTATTGTTTTTATTTATAAAAAAAATATTAGAAAATTGTTTAAAAAATTATTATTAAAAAATGGAAAATATTTTGCCTATTTTCTGTTTTTTAATAACAATATTATTCACAAAATTATAAGCTCTTTTGGAAAAAAAATAATTTTCACCATTTCTATTTCTTCTTTTGATTTTTTTAAACAAAACTCCAAGTTTTTTTTAATAAACAAAGGGAAAAAAATTATAAATTCGATTTGTCAATCACAATTTTTTATTGAAAATGAAAATCGAAAATTTTTAAAAGATTTTTATAAAATGAAGGAAAAACTTCGACTTGTCAATCAAAAGAAACTAAAAATGTTGTAAAAGAAATGTGATTGACAAGTCGACTTTTTTCCTTCATTTTATGAAAATCTTTTAAAAATTCTCAATTTTATTTTCAATAAAAAATTTCCATAATTTCTATCTCAAAGTCACAATTTTGATAGTAAATTCTATTTTTTTTTTATTAAAAAAAGAATAAATTTGGACCATTTATATTTCTCAATCACCATTTTTTAACAAAACATCCATTTTTTTTAAAATTAATAAAAAGAAAAATTGCAAATCCAAACAAAATAATAATAATAAAAAGAAGTTTGCATAATTTCTATTTCCTCATCACAATTTAATTGATAATAATAACTTCTTTCAAGTATTTTGTTACAATTTTTGAAAATAATAATTGAATTATCAAAAATTTTAATGAAAAATCTTTAAATGTAAATTTATAAATGAAAATTAATGAAAATTAGCTTCTAATTTTTTAAAGTTCAATATTTTCAGCATTTTTAATTACAAATTTCCGAAAATTCAAATACAAAAACAATAATTTTTAACATTTTGGAGAAAAAATTCATGTTCAAATTTTTTTATTAAAATTCAATTATGTTCGAAAAATTACATTAAAATATTTTTAAAAACTAATTCTTAGAATTGTTTCTTCATAATTTTTTAAGATTTAATTATCGAACATTTTTATTTATATTTTTCAAAAATTTAATTATTTTTAAAAGATTTTAGAAAATTTCAATTGTTTGGAAATTTTTCAATTGTATATAATTAAAAAACTATTATCTTTCAAAAATTATTTAGAAATATTTTTATAAAATTAATTGTAAGAATTTCTTTATTAAAATTTTTTGAAAATAATATTTTCGAAAAATTATAATAAAGAAATTCTTACCTAATAACTTAAGGAAAAAACGTGGACAGTTACAATTATTATAAATAATTGAATTTTTTTATTTAAATATTTTTAAATTCTCGAAGAATTTTAAATTATTTTTAAAATTATCTAAAATAATTGATTTAGAGATAAAGTTTAGTTAAAAATTGTAAAAATTCTTCGCAAGAATTGAATTATTTTCATAAATATGTAATAACATTCTTTGGGAGGATTCAATTACTTTTATAAATAGTAAAATTCTTTGCAGAAATTCAATTATTTTCAATATAATTTTAATAAAATTGAATTATCAAATTTTCAATTATAATTATAAAGAGACAAGATTATTTTAAAAAATTGTAAAAATTCTTTGTTTAATTCAATTATTTTTCAAATTTTTAATTAAAATGATTAAAAAAAAACATTTTAAAAAATTTAAAGAAACTCGTCAAAAGAATTTAATTATTTATAAAAACTCTAATAAAAATTTTTGAAGCCATTTGTAGTTTAAAATTATTTTTTTATTATTTGGGTCAGTCCATTATATTTCACCTGAAGCCGTTGCGGCCTATTTTTAAAAAAATCTCATAATTTGTAAAAATGATGTTTAATATCCATAGAATTCATTTTTGAGAATTATTTTATAAAATTTTTTGAATTTAACTTAGAATTTTAATTTTTAAGTTGAGTTGGACAGAAAAAAGGTTAGATTGACAGTTATGTAAATTTAATAAAAAAGCATGGAAATAATTTAGATAATACAAATTTCTTGATTGATATTTGTTAAAAATGAGCTAATTTACTTGTATAAATAGATTATTATGTAAACATACTCAAAATAATAGATAAAAATTGATTTTAAAACTTAACTATGAAATGTCAAAAGTCACTACATTTTAATTACATTTTTCTAAAAAGTTTATAAATATAAAAAAATTTATTTCTATTTAATGTAAAGTATTTTCAATGTACTTTCATAATATGTGCTAACTTTTTAATTTTATAATACAGAAATATGAAAAATTTTACCTTTAATATTGAGTGTTTCATGATTTTCAGTGATTTTAATCACTTATTTCTTCTCAGGTGCAAGACTAAAAAATCCAATTTTTGTCTTAATATTTAAGTTTGAACTTCTTTTCCATTCTATTAAATTTTGGTGATGGAGAACGAGCTACTTTTCAGTTTAAATTTAGTTTAAAGAATCTACTGAAAAAGCGAGTTTGTTGGTTAAAATGCAGTTAATTTTATAAGACTGAAGTTGGCTATCTCAATAGTCATGCAAAAATCTACTTGCATTTTAACCAACAAATTCGTTTTTTCAGTAGATTTTTTAAACTAAATTTAAACTGAAAAGTAGCTCGTTCTCCATCACCAAAATTTAATAGAATGGAAAAGAAGTTCAAAATTAAATTTTAAGACAAAAATTGGATTTTTTATTCTTGCACCTGAGAAGAAATAAGTAATTAAAATCACGGAAAATCATGAAACACTCAATATTAAAGGTAAAATTTTTCCTATTTCTATATTATAAAATTAAAATGTTAGCACATATTATGAAAGTACATTGAAAATACTTTACATTAAATAGTAATACATTTTTTAATATTTATAAACTTTTTAGAAAAATGTAATTAAAATGTAGTGACTTTTGACATTTCATAGGTAAATTTTAAAATCAATTTTGCTTCCTCATAAAGGAAGCTTTGTATTAGCAAAATTTTGGATTGTCATTTTTTGACATATTTATAATTTTTTTTTTATTATGCCTAATACTTTAGTACTTTATATATGCACAGGAACTCCCCGTATAAATGTTCTAAATAAATAAAAAAAAATTTCGACGTACTTTGACCTCCGAAGTCTAAAAAACGGATTTTAAAAATTTATCCCGGTGTGTGTGTGTGTGTGTGTGTGTGTGTGTGTGTGTGTGTGTGTGTGTGTGTGTGTGTGTGTGTGTGTGTGTGCTAACATTACATTTGCCTCAATATCTCAGAACGAGAAAAAGCTAAAGGCCTCAATTTTTTTTTAAATTGTAGGTCTCCCCGGGGGACATAAAATGAGAGTATTTTCAGCCCGATTCATGAAGTTTAACTATTTTTTTTGCATTTTTCATTTAGTAAAAAAACGTTTTTTGGACATAACTTAAAAAAATGTTAGGACACTTATAAATCTTTTTCTTTAGTTTTGTACAGTTTTTTCACACGCATCTTTTGAGCCCTAATTGAACATTTTTCGTCCATATTAACCGGAGATATTAAACTTTTAAAAATCAAAAATTTTGGAAAATAAGACTTTTTTAAAAATTTTGTTAAAAATGTAGAAGTTTAGTTTTGTTTTGTATTTAGTTTTGTAGAGTTTTTTCAGACGCATCTTTTGAGCCCCAATTGAACATTTTTCGTCCATATTAACCGGAGATATTAAACTTTTAAAAATCTAAAATTTTGAAAAATAAGACTTTTATAAAAATTTTTTTAAATTATGTAAAAGTAACTTCAAAAAATTATTACCAACTTGAAGAGCATTAAAAAACGCTTCGATTGACCTATTTTTGAACCTGATTCGGGTAGAAATTATGAAATTATTGGTATTTGAAAAATCAAAAATTGTGGAAAATATCATTTTTTCAACATTCTTGTTTATTAACTTATGTGTAATTATTTAACTATTATTGCCATCTTATAGAATATATAAAAACACACTTTTTGGACCAAGATTTAATGATCTTTAACCCTTTTATAAAAAGTAATTGTTAAATTTCATCTATTATTATTTCTATGAGGAAGCAAAGTGTTCATGAAATGAACACCAAAATTATAAAAATGTACAACTTGGCAGCGGTTTTTATCTATTATTTTGAGTATGTTTACATAATAATCTATTTATACAAGTAAATTAGCTCATTTTTAACAAATATCAATCAAGAAATTTGTATTATCTAAATTATTCCCATGCTTTTTTATTAAATTTACATAACTGTCAATCTAACCTTTTTTCTGTCCAACTCAACTTAAAAATTAAAATTCTAAGTTAAATTCAAAAAATTTTATAAAATAATTCTCAAAAATGAATTCTATGGATATTCAACATCATTTTTACAAATTATGAGATTTTTTTAAAAATAGGCCGCAACGGCTTCAGGTGAAATATAATGGACTGACCCATTTAATTAATTTATTTAATTTATTTATTAATATTAATAATATAATAATATTAATATAATAAAATGAAATTAATAAATTTATTTTATTTTTATTTTTTATTTATGTTCGAACTCAAATAAATTTAAATTTGATGAGGGAAAAAATCGGGAATTTTGTGGTTATGTTCATTAAATTTAAATTTAATGTATTTAAAATTTTTGTAGTTATTGTTCAATGAGATTGAAAACATCCAGCGCGTGGCAGCCGGAGTATTATGTGAATTGGCAGCAGATAAGGAAGGTGCAGAAATGATTGAGCAGGAAGGTGCAACAGCGCCTTTAACTGAACTTCTTCATTCGAGAAATGAAGGCGTTGCCACATACGCTGCGGCAGTTTTATTCCGCATGTCCGAAGATAAGCCGCAAGATTATAAGAAAAGACTCTCCATGGAATTAACTAATTCACTGCTCCGTGAAGATCCCAATTTATGGAATGGCGGTGACTTTGGAATGGCTCCTGATTTACAGGTGAGAAAATTTCCTCTTACTTTCAAGTAAAGTTCAATATTTCTATAGATCTCTTACAATACGTACTTTTTATTATCCATAATAAGCTTTTATTATTTTATTTATTGCCGAATGATCGTAAAAGAATTATATTCCAGTGAGTGTTCTTTAGAAATTAAAAAAAAACATTCAAAGCACTGTTTATTTTTATAAATTTATTATTTTTCTTTCATAAATATTATTTTTATATATATGCTAATAAATATTTCATTGTTTTGCATTGTTATTTGATTCATTACGCACAACTAATTTTTAACCACCAGCACTCACAAGAATCACGCGATGTTTGTGTTTCTCTTCTCGAAGTAACATATTCACTTGTTAATCACGCTTTCGTATAAAAATGGCGCTTCTGTCAAACCATTTTCCAATAATGCACTACCGTCGTAAAGAGAATAACGAAAGCGCTATTGGAAATCAAGTTAAACTTTAAAGAGCGATTATTCTCTTAAATTAAGAGCTAAGGAAAGTTTTAATAAATAGTTGAAAAGTTCATTAAATTCTTTTGTGCAAAATACACTTCAGTAACTTTATTTTCAGTCATTCTGTTAAAAGACTTTGTGCATGAAGCATATGATGGAAATTAAGATATTTCAAGAATGTTACAACTTTTATGTTTATTTTTTTTAACAGACAATTTCGAGAACTTTTAAATTATCTTCTTAATTTTTTAAAATTTCTGTAGCTGATAATTTAACAGTGGTTAATCCTTCTTGAAACATAAAGTAAATTTTTCAGTAGTGTCTGTTATATATTTAACTACTTTATGACTAGAGTGTTCTTAAAAAAACGAGGGGAGGGTATTGCAAATTTCAAGCTTCTAGAATTAACAAAAAAGTCAAAATATGTTTGACTTCTTTCCTATAAAATGTACATTTACATTTAAATTTTATAGTACCTATCATTTGGGGTAAATGAAAACGAGGGATAAATAATAGTGAATGTAAACTTTTAATTTCGAGTTTCATATTTAAGTGGGTTTATTATTTTTTTATTTATATTTTAAATAAAGTCGTTGCGGACTAATTTTCTAAAAAATTGAAAAATTTCACTCTTTTAGCAACTACAGGGTTGCCACAGGGTCAGGGAAATCAGGGATTTTAGGGAAAACGCAGGGAAAGTAGAATTAGTCAGAGAAATGAAGGAAAAGTCAGGGATTTTTATTAAAAGTACTGGAAAAAAATTGAATTTTGGAAAAGTTACAAATGATTGCAGAAATTCAATTATTTCCAAAAATAACAAAATCCTTCTCAGAAATTTAATTATGTTCAAAAATTGAAAAATTTTCTCCTCAAAATTTCAATATTATCTTTTAAAATAATAAAATTATTCTCAAAAATTTTAATAAAATTTCAATTATACCTTTAAAAATAATAAAATTCTTCTCAAAAATTCAATTATTTTCAAAATTTTTAATAAAATTCTCGGCAAAATTTGAATTATGTTCCAAAATTGTTTAATTATCTCATCAAAATTTCAATTATCTGTACAAAAAATAAAATTTTTCTCCAAAATTAAATTATTTTGAAAAGTTTTAATAAAATTCTCGGTAAAATTTCAATTATGTTCAAAAATTAAAAAATGTTCTCGTCAAAATTTCAATTATCTTTAAAAATAATAAATTTCTTCTCCAAAATTCAATTATTTTCAAAAATTTTAATAAAAATCTTGGCAAAAGTCCAATTATTTAAAAAAAATTTCCACAATTCAAAGATTTTCAATATTTATTATTTTAAATAAAATATTCCAAAAGAATTCAATTATAAAAAACATGTTGATAAAATTGTAAGTAAACATTAAATTATTTTTATAAATAATACAATTTTACAGGAATTCAACTATTTACAAATTTTTTATAAATTTTCTTCTCAATAATTCAATTATTTTCATAAATAATAACATTTTTTACAGGGATTCAATTATTTTCATAAATAATAACACTCGTAGCAGAATTTCAATTATTTTTAAAAACAATTTTAATGGAATTTCTTGAAAAATGTAATTATTCTTAAAAATTTTATTAAAATTCGTCAAAAAAATTTTAAAAAAGGTTTTGAAAAGGTTTCCCACTTGAAATCATTGAAAACCTGAATTTTTTATACCTTTAACTGTGACAATTCTGTAGAATTATTTTTTTTGAAAAATTTTAATTGAAATTATTTCAAGTTCTTATTTTCTAAATATTTAATTGAAGAATTTCCGAATAATCGAAATTTCGTAAAATTTAATTGTAAATAAATGGACTTGAAAGTTTTAAAGAAACTTTTGCAAAAATTATTAAAAATAATTGATAATTATAATTGATAATTCAATGGTTTCGAAGAATTTTAATAAAATTTTTGAAAACAATTACATTTTTTGGAGAATTTACTTAAAATTTTATTAATTTTTATTTTAAATACTTTTGAAATCCTGTAAAGAATTTTATTATTTTTAAAAATAATTGAATTCTTGCAACGAATTTTATTAATTTTTATTTTAAGTAATATTGAAATCCTGTAAAGAATTTTATTATTTCTGAAAATAATAGAATTCTTGCAACGAATTTTTATTACATTTTTTTATATAATTGAAATCCTGTGAAGAATTTTATTATTTTTGAAAATAATTGAATTCTTGCAACGAATTTTGATACATTTTTTAAAAATAATTGAATTATTTTAAGAAATTGATTTAAAATAGTAGATTTTGAAAATATTTTAATTGTAGCGAAAAATTTCATTATTTGTGAAATGTAATTGAGTTCTTTCAAAAAATTTTTGAAAATAATTATATTTTTGGAGGAATTCATTTTTTTTAAAAATAATTTAATTCATGTAAAAAATGTTATTACTTGTAAAAATACTCAAATTTTTACGAAGAATTTTATTAAAATTTTTGTAAATTAAATTTTTTTTTAAATTTTATGGAAATTTAAATTATTGTAAAACATGAAGATAACAATCACTCCGAGTCGAAGACTCGGAGTAATTGATATCTTCATGTTTTATGAGAATATTCTTATCAGTTGTTGAATTTTAAAAAAGTTTGAATTTGACACTCTTTGAAAATCTTAATTTCTATGGAATAATAATAATGATTCAATATTTATTTTTAAAAAAATTTAATGTTGTTTTCGAATAATTTTACAATTAAAGAAAATTCGTAAATAAATGTAATATACATTGTTTTGAGTATCGAATCATTTTTAGAGTGAATCAGAATAATTTTTTAGGGTCAGGGAAGAAGACAAAATTTTGTCCGAAAATCAGGGAAAAACAAAATTAATTTTTTGTGGCAATCCTGAATTAGAAAATATGTAAAAAATACATTGAAAAATTCTTAAAAGTGCAAAAAGAATGATTGATTCTTGTTTAAAATTAGTTGATTAATTATTTTTAATAATTAAACTATTGAAAAAATAGTTTAAATTAAAACGAAAAAATACAGTGGATATTTTTCATTCTGTAAATACTAATAATTGTTGTGCCTGATGAACCAACTTTCTAGAAATAGAGAATTTATAAAATTATGTTTCTTACCTGCATGAGAATGCTCTTTAAAATGATATATACATTTATATATATTTTGTCATATATGTGAAAACTCGATTTTTATTAATTTTTGAAATGAGAAAAACATAGTTAACGTTCAATGTAGTAGTGAGTTAATCAGTTTTTCACTAGTTAATTGACACCACTGAGCTTCCTACAGCGATCCAAGGTATCACGACACGCTTGTAGTTAATAAATTTTGTGTTGACCTTTGCTATACCTACTCTCTAGGACATTCTTGGACCTGATCAACCGTATGACGGTATGTATGGACAAGGACCTCCAAGTGTTCACAGCAGTCATGGCGGACGAAACTATCAACAACAAGGTAAAAAAATTCTTTCGAAAATTCCCTACTTGCTTCATCTCTCACATAATTATTATTGTTGTTAGACTTTTCAATAAATTAGGTTAACAATTTTTCAATAGTCATAATAATTTTTCAAATTTTTAACTTACATGAAATTGTTTTTAAATTCTTTAATTGATGAGAAATATATGAGCGGTGTATATTTATTATTTATACACAAAGTACTAAGATTAGAAAAAGTTAGTAACTTAAATATAAACGTATCGTAATCATAACAATTCAAATTGATACTTCATTTCTTGAATCTATAGTGTACGTAGATTTTTGACTTTATTTTAAAAATAAAATTCTAATCAAGTTTTAATGATTTTACGACATTTATAATCGATTTTTTTAAAATAGTTTTAAGTGGAGGGTTCGTCTAAATTTTTAACTTTGTCAAGAAACTGATTTAAGGGGATTTGAACCTTGATGACGTCACAGTTTGTGCAAAGCATTAGTTTTAAATCTGTGACGTCATCATGGTTCAAATGCCCTTAAATCTTCCATAAAATTCTTTTTATAGTAATTTTTTTAGAGAAATTCAATGGTCATAAAATTGGCTTCGTACTCATCTACTAAAATCTACTATTTACTATTTTTTTAGCGTTATGCTACTATTTGGATACTTTTTTAGATTTCAGCCACAAAAAGCTACTATTTCTCCTTTTTTTTGAGAATTTCCACTACTTTTAATTCGCTTATACTAGAAATCAAAAAACCATTCTTAAAAATTATAAACAAATTCTTCAAAACGATTCAATTATTTTCAAATAATATTCGAAATTCAATTATTTCCAATATCTAGTTTTTTCATAAAATTTCGCAAAAGAATTGAATTATTGAAAACAAAATTGATGAAATTCATCCATAATTCAATTAATTTAGAATAGCAGTTCCAAAAAAATTACGAAAAAATCAATTATTTAACAAAATTGTCATACAATTCTTCTAAATAATTTAATTATTTTTACTAATAATATTTTTCATGGAAATTCGATTTTTAAAAAAAAATGTTGACAAAATTCTAAGCAAGAATTCAATTATTTTCATAAATAATAAAACTCATCGAAGAATTTCAATTATTTTTAATACTATTTTTAATTAATTAATCGAAAAATTCAATTATTTAAAATAAAATTTTCATAATACCTATTTATTATATTTCGAAAAAATTAATTATTCAAAACAATGTTTATAATATTCTTACAAAGAATTCAATTATTTTCAAAAATAACAAAATTTTTCATAAAAATTCAATTCTTTTTAAACATTTTAATAAAATTTTGTAATTTTTGAAAATAATTGAATATTCTTTATAAGAATTTTATAAACATTGTTTTAAATAATTAAATAATTGAATTATTGAGAAATTTTTCTTACTCATGAAAAAAATTGAATTCTTACAAAGAATTTACAAAAAAATTTTAAATAATTGAATTCTGTTTGGAAATTTTATGAAAATAGTAGATATTGAAAATCATTGAATTGCGAAATGTTTATAAAAATAATTAAATTTTACAAAGAATTCAATTAAAATTTTTGACAATAATTGAATTCTTGCGATAAATATTGTTATTTATGAAATATAATTAAATTTAGAAAAGAATTTTATTAAATGCCTCAAAATAATTGAATTTTTGGGAATAATTTTTTTATTTATCTTTAATAATTGAATTCTTGGAAAAAATTTTTTTTTAAATCTAAAAGAATAATTGAATTATTTCAAAAAAAAATTTAATTTAAATTGTATTTAAAATAATTGTTTTCTTCCGAAAAATTTTATTAATATATTTGAAAATAAACTAATACTTGTGGAAAATTCTAATATTTTTGTAAATAATTCAGTTTTTCGAAAGAATTTTAAAAAAATGATTTTTTTAAATAATTTATTTTTCCCCGGAATTGAAATTAAATTTTAAAAATTATTACAGTGCGATTCCATGGGAGATTTTAGTTTTTTCGGAGTAAGTAAACCAATTGCAATGAAATTTTGGAATTTAAATCTACACATAAAAAGACATATTTCCACCAAATATTACGTCAAAATATTCAGTAGTTTTTGAGATGTCAAAATTTTGGAAAAATTTTGAAATCGTTATATCTTCTTTCCATCTTAACCAAATCACTTAATTTTTTTTTGGAGAAAATTCAGCATAAAAAAACGAAAAAGTTTTTTATATTATGTTTATACAAAATTTTTATAAACAAAAAAGTTATTAAATAATAATTGAATAACTTTTTAATAGCTTCACGGAATTGAATGAAATAAACACTAAAATAATCTTACCTTTGATTTCTTTAAGATTCCGAAAAAAATATCTGGCAACGAGATTGTCTTCATATAATATTTTTAATATTTTTGTTCACTTATGAGCGTAAACATTAGAAGTTTCTGCTACTTTACGTGCAAATTCTTGTGCGCGCGCAGACCTCTCTTTCTAATCATCTCCGAATTTCCGGTTTCAGAGAGAGATGTCTGCGCGCGCACCTGAATTTGCACGTAAAGTAGCAGAAACTTCTAATGTTTACTCTCAAAAGTGAACAAAAATATTAAAAATATTATATGAAGACAATCTCGTTGCCAGGTATTTTTTTCAGAATCTTATAGAAATCAAAGGTAAGATTATTTTAGTGTTTATTTCATTCAATTCCGTGAAGCTATTCAAAAGTTATTCAATTATTATTTAATAACTTTTTTGTTTATAAAAATTTTGTATAAACATAATATAAAAAACTTTTTCGTTTTTTTATGCTGAATTTTCTCCAAAAAAAAATTAAGTGATTTGGTTAAGATGGAAAGAAGATATAACGATTTCAAAATTTTTCCAAAATTTTGACATCTCAAAAACTACTGAATATTTTGACGTAATATTTGGTGGAAATATGTCTTTTTATGTGTAGATTTAAATTCCAAAATTTCATTACAATTGGTTTACTTACTCCGAAAAAACTAAAATCTCCCATGGAATCGCACTACATTTTTCGAGCTATTCCTGTAAAATTGTATTAAAAATAATTGAAAACTTGATACGAATTTTTTTATTTATGAAAATAATTGAAAACTTGATACGAATTTTTTTATTTATGAAAATAATTGAATACCTAATTCAATTATTTTCATAATAATAAAATTCAAATTTTAAATTTGAAAATTAAAAATTCAATTTCAATTCCTCGAAAAAATAATTTATTTTAAATACAATTTTAATTAAATCCTTTTGAAATAATTTAATTATTCTTTTAGCTTTTAATAATATTCTCCCTCGAAAGAATTCAATTATGTCGATAAATAACAAAATTATTCCCGAAAATTCAATTATTTTTAAAAAATAAAAATAACAATATTCATCACAAGAATTCAATTATTTTTAAAAGTAATAAATTTCTTCTTGTAATTTCAATTATTTTACACAATTCTAATAAAATCATTCGCAAGAATTCAATTATTTTCGTAAATAATAAAATGCTCGAATTGACTTTAATTATTTAAAAATTCGTTGATAAAATTTTTCATAAGAATTTAATTTTAAGAAACATTCAATTAAATTCAATAAATTATTTATTTTTGTATATAAATAATTGAATTCTCGTAAAATTTTTTAATAGAAATTTATTAAAAATTGAATTTTAGTAAAAATTTTAGATAATAATTGACTATTACAAAAATTGTAGAGTAAATTTTTAGAAATAATTGAATTTTACGAACATTTTAAATTCAAAAATTAAAAAATTTGAATTTTTCATACTTTTAACTAACAATTCTGTAAAATTTATTTTTTTTTGTCTTATTGCACAAGAATTCAATTAATTTAAAATGTCATTTTTAAAAAAATGACATACATTGCGAAAAAATCAATTATTTAACAAAATTTTTATACAATTCTTCACAATAATTCAATTACTTTCAATTACTTTTTACAACATTGTTCGTGGAAATTCAATTTTTGAAAAAAAATGTTGATAAATGTCTAAGCAAGAATTCAATTATTTTCATAAATAATTAAACTCATCGAAGAATTTCAATTATTTTTTAATAATATTTTAAATTAATTAATTCAATTATTTTTAAAAACAGTAAGAAATTTTTTCTTGGAAATTCAATTATTTTAAAAAATTCTAATAAAGTTATTCGCAAGAATTCAATTATTTTCATAAATAATAAAATGCTTTTTAGGAATTCAATTATTTTCAAAAAAAATTAATAAAATGCCACACAGACATTCAATTATTCTCAACAATTTTAATATAATTCTTTGTAAAATTTAATAATTTTTAAAAACTTTACGCAATCCAATTATTTTTAATATCTATTTTTTTCATAAAATTTCCAAACAGAATTCAATTATTTACAAGAATTTTTGTAAAAATCTTCAGAAGAATTCAATTCTTTTTATGAATAATAAAAATTTCTAAAGAATTCAATTATTTGAATTAGAATTTACATAAAATTAGTCGAAAGAAATCAATTATTTAAAAATTTTTATATAATTCTTGACAAGAATTAAAGTATTCTTATAAATATTGAAATTGTTTCATGAATAATAAAATTCGTTGATTTTTTCAAAACAATGCTTCACAATTTTTAGGAAAAATAAAAATTCAGAAAAAGCACAAATATGTTCTGACCGATTTTATTTTATAACCATCGAGTTCCTCTCAAAAAAATACTATAATAATTATTTTATGCAGCAATTATTGAGTCATCATCCGTATACGTTATTTTTTCGCCATTGATATGAAAAAATGAAACTTTAAAAAAAAATGAAAATATATATGTGACGCGCTCCGAAGAAAGGTACAGAAAAAACACTTTTTTATGTTACTGGCGAAAATTTTTTTTTAAATCTGTATTTAAGATAAAACATTAATGTACAATTTTCTCTCTTCTAATAATTGACTTGAGACTAACACAAATGCACGGAAAATATTGATTTATTTTCAATCTAGACTTTGGTAACCAGACTACAATCCTCCTC